AAAAAACAAATTGCATTTAGAATGAGCAGAATATAAATGTATCAAATATGGGGCACATTACAAAATAATAAATCTTGAATAATAGGAGTATGAAAAATAATCAAAGAATGGGTTGGCAGCACACGCAATCCCAATCTTGGGGCGGTAGACGAGGAAAATGCGCGCGGCCCCATAATGCGCGAACGCCCCCAACATCACAAACACGCGAAAGATCTGGTGGTTATGCCCGGCTAAATCGAACCAGCCTGGGCCCCACCTCTCGAGAAAATGGCCCACATGGAAAGTTATCCCAAGCAGGTAGGAGAAGACCATGGCCCCCTTGTAGGCTAGGGTTATGTTGCAATGCGGGTGGTCCCAGTTGATGACCAGCGCATGTGCTGCGGGACCACTCCGAATATCCCCATGGACACGAAGAAGAGGGCTCGAAGAGTGCGGTGTTTTCCGGAAGAGATTACTTTAGCCCTAAATAAAACTCCTATAAAGCTGTATTTTTTCATTTTTTAGTAGGCAAGTTAATTAATTTGGGGCTTTATAGGAGTTTTATTTAGGAAGATTCCTCTTGTTATTTTGGGGGAGTGATTGATTGAAATAAAGAACGAGTTTAAGATTTTTCTCTTTATGGTTCTCATTCGTTTACGTTGCGCTACATCAGAAGCCCTTGATCTATTAAATTATCTCGATAATGCTGAAAAATTCTAGGACTACTACTAAAAGCATATGAAGAGTTGATTTCATTCCAAACACTTTTAGCGTAAAAAAAATAATAAAGACGCCAAAATATCTTTGGATATTGATGAGTTTAAAAGCGAAAAAAAAAAAAGAACCAGAGTATTCACACGAACCACTAACAGCATGTTCAACAGGATTGGTTGTAGAGTTTGGGGTCACTAAATCGAGAACTGTCAATAAAGGAAACCTTATTCTTGATACTCAATGCTATGAGAACAACGTGAGACCATAGTTATCCGTTGAACAAATATGCAACAATTAGAGCTCCCGAATTATCGCGAATTGTAAAGAGATGATGAATTGTGTGTGAGATGAGTAGACCCGCGCGCGCCTTCATTCATTCATGAAGCACGAATTCAGAAAGGTATGCGTTTGTAGATGGAAATTAGAAACAAAAGTATATGGTTGGTTAGAATAATAGCAAATCGAAGAGAGAAAGGTATATGCACTAAAAATTCAAAAGTATGGAACAAGTATCTGACACACTATAATTGTAAATCGAAGAGAGAGAGAGGTATATGCACTAAAAATTCAAAAGTATGAAACAAGTATCTGATGCACTATATATATATACAACTTAAAAGAAACAAATTGCATGCATTTAGAATGAGCATAATATATATAAATGAATAATAAATAATAAGTGTGGCACATTACAGAATTAATAATGAATAATAAGTATGAAAGAAAATCAAAGATTAATGGGTTGTCCACACGCAATCCCAATCCCGGGGCGGTAGATGAGGAAAATGCGCGCGGCCCCATAGTGCGCGAGCGCCCCCAACACCACAAACACGTGAAAGATCTGGTGGCTGTGCCCGGCTAAATCGAACCAGCCTGGGCGCCACCTCTCGGGAAAACGGCCGACATAGAAAGTTGTCCCGAGCAGGTAGGACAAGGCCATGGCCCCCTCGTAGGCTAAGGTAATGTTGCGATGCGGGTGGTCCCAGTTGATGACCAGCGCATGTGCTGCGGGGACCACTCCGAACAGCCCCATGGACACGAAGAGGAGGGCTCGAAGGGTTCGGTGTTTTCCAGAAGAGAGGGCCGGGGAGAGGAGGGCTATTACGGTGCAGGCGCCCATGGCAGTGATGCAGCCGAGGTAGATAAGCTGCCACTTGGGCTGGCACTCGAAGACGTAGTAGATTGGGGGGAAGAAGGAGGTGATTATCATCACGGTTATGCCTACGTAGTCGAGGTGGAGCAACTGGGTGTTGAGGCGCTTGGAGTGGCACGAGAACAGGTGGCAGCTGCTGCTCCAGAGGAGGCATAACATTGCGCCGCATAGGAACACTACCAGTGGCCAGCGTTCGCCTGTTGAATCCTGGATATATTCTGCATATTTGGTTGACCGACCAGCTGACAATGATGTGTTATTGGTACTACTCACCAAGGATGATGATGATAAGTTGTTGAAGATCATATCGGATTCTGGATATTGTCTGCAAAACAACCGCAAAAAGTTAATTACCCAAAAATATCCAATTCAAACTCAAATCTAACTCAACTTAAAGTGAACCCACACTATACTCAATACTTTCAATATGATTAAATAATATCAATCAATCATTCTTATAAATAAAATCAACTTTAATTCACTATTCACTTACTCGCATAATTTTAACTACCCATCACATCTAATCATTTTTCTTCTACTTTTACATCAAATCAACTTTACTCACTTAATTTTAAATATAATTTTAATATAAAATTCCACTCAAACCTAACTCAACCAATTTTTTCAAAATTAACTATATCTAACCTAAAAAACCAATCAAAACAAAAAATATTTATAACCTAAACCATCTTATTATTTTGCTTTCCTCTAAAATTAATTAATTAAATGCTTCACACTTCAATAACACTTACCATCAACATTATTAATTAATTTTGGAGCCTTCTAATTTTTAATTAAGTAATAATTGGATTTTGAGAGGCATATTTGTTGGAATTTCGATGTCTACTGCACATGGCTACTACACTCTGGTAAAATGGGCCATGTGACTGACTTCTCTAGCTGCCAAAACTGGTCTTAAGTTGGTCAATAACTCTTTTGTCTATTTAATAAATAGTAAATTATATTCACAACCTGTAAATTGTAATGGCATCTTATTTTGCTACGAAGGTAACAGTTGGTTCCATAGTGGAGCCAACCTTCTATATACAACAAGTAAACTTACCATATTCTCTGATTACTTAAATAACACTAATATAATTTTATTAATATGATAGGTTTATTTGTTGTATATAAAAAATTGACTCCACTATAAAGTCAACTTTTGACTTCATTGCAAAATCGCTTATCTATATATATATAATTACTAGCTCAAAACATTTAATAAAACCTATTTAATTTTACCTATGTGGCAATTTAACAATTTTCCCTCCAAAAACCGTTACATTTTGATGTATTTAATCTTTCATTTAATCATTAAATAATTAATACTCATCACTTTAAAATTACAAAAATTATTTTAAACTTTTGATTAATGACAGTTGACCATATAATGTGTTGACCGTATAATGTGATTAGATGTTATTATTGTTGTTACATTTAATTTTTTTTTTTTGAAAATAAAAAATATATTTAAAATTTCTAAATAAATAATAAATAATTCACAAATAAAAGACGTACCAAAATAAATATTACATCCAATTAGATAAACATAATTTTAAAAAAAATATTCCAACTCTTTTAAGTAAATTTGGTTTGCAAAAAAGTGAAAGAAAAATAATCAATCATTATATGCATACAGACTCACAATAATTTATTTATATCTGTGCAAATGCACAGGTCGCATACTAGTTCAAATAAAACATCTACTAGAATAATTTATTGAACCCCCAAAATTTATTAGCCAGCAAATAATTATGTGTAGGGCCGTCTCTTTGGAATATAAGATGAATTGGTAGACTCAAGTACACATAATTACAAATATATAAAATTGGGCTGCTTAGTGCCAATTAAATGGCATCGATGCCCCCAACTAATTCCAGGTACAGAGTGCATGAGCTGTATAAATAATTACATTAAATTATAGTTGCATGTCTCTTTCCCTCATTTAATTAGTGGTATGATAATTGGACAAATATTTATTGCTTCTCTTCAAAATATTGGTTAATTTTGTATAATCCATAATTCAACAGTAAAAATTCAAACAAATACGATAGAATTTACCAAATTCTTGAACAAATTAACATTCATTTAGTATGCCATTTCTCGACAAGCTATAAGTTACAATAGCTCTTTATGATGACGAAGAGGAGTATTTTCGTGTAACTATGCAATTTATTGATTTAAAACAGCCTAAAAAAATTAAAAAAAATTAAAATATGCAAAAAGGACATAGGGGAGCTGAAAAGAACAGAAAGAACTAATTTACAGCATAATTGTACTNCAATCTAAATTTCTGATCCTCCTGTGATTAATAATATCGTGTCACTTACTCAAATATTGAACAATACCGCATAAATAGTTAATTGCTGATATAAATAATATAAAATTAAAAACCAATGTCGATAATCCCGTAATTAATTACCAGATGATATAAAATTAGCGTATCTCTAAGATATTGGAACTTACTCAGTAATCATGGTGATAAATTCAGCCATTTGAGGCATGTCCACTAGATTAGATACTGTTAGTCCCACAAACAACAAAAACCCAAGCAAATGCCTGCACCAAATAAGATTAAAGTCAAATTAATTAATTAATTAATTAATTAGAAGAAAAATGAGTAAAATGATGAACAATTAATTATTCACATAAAAAAGCAGCAGTCACAAAATACTTACGTCCAGACATTTAGTGTCTCATTATGCCAACTAAACAAGCTGAAGAGAGCTTGTTTTATAGGCCAGTTAGCCCTGTAATAATGCAATATGTACTCATTATCCTTCATATAATCCGGCAGTTGATGGTAGGATAAAAGTTGATACTTTTCCCCTTTCTTTCCACTATTATCCATCGTTATCCTCTTGGACATCTTTGCCGTCTTTTGACCGATCTTGTCCTGATCGTCCATTGGCACTTTTCTCCTCCAAACAGAGCCTTTAGTTTTGCTTCTAATCATCTGTTGGGATGATGGATAGGATAGATGAGCTCTCGATTAAATCTGCAGAAAAATGGAGAGCCCTTTTAAATATTTCTTTTTCTTCTTCTACTTCTGTTTTGTGACACAAACGGCAAGTTTTGTGTGTTCCTTTTTGGGTGCTTGGGCTGATATATAAGTAATGAGAAGAGGTGTGAATTGTAATAACGTGCGAGCAACTGCCAACTAACAAAACTTGAAGGAAAAATTAGTTTTATTTTGTCCTAATTAAGTCAATCTTTTTTTTTTTTCTCTTTTGTGGTAATATCACTAAATGGTCATGTAGCTTTTAAAAAGATGAAAATAGCCGCATTTTGTCAAATATAAAATAATTGTCATTTTACTACAATTACCTTTATTACTAAAAATTGTACGGAAATTTGATTTTAGTAGTAAAGATAATTGTATTTTCAAATTACTATTATTATTATTATTATTATTATTATTATTATTTCAAATGGTTATATTTCTAATTTGCATTTTGGCAATGTATTTTTTTGGGGTGTGTGACTTGCTTGGATTGAATGTTTGAGAAGTTAGGTTTGACAGCAAAATGGTTAGGTTATCCATAACTTCTCCATGTCCTGCACATATCATTAATTTTATCGACACAGGCCACGCAACTCTTAAAAATACTGATGTCTGGTCCATATAAAATTTATTACTTCAATTACCCAATTGAGAAATAGACATTAACTGCACTTTCGTCCATTCGAAGTGTATAGATTGCAATCCAATTCTAGGCCAACTACTTGTGGTATTTTTCTCGGACAAATAGTTCCGAGGTTGAGTATCAAAGGATGTGAGTTTTTTTTTTTTTTTTTTTTTTTTTTTTTTTTTTTTTTTTTTTTTTTCCTTACTTATTGCTTTAGTGTTAGTTGTAAAAAGAAATTCTCATGTGGACGCGTTATGTGTGAAACTTAGTTAACTACTAGTGCGTGACGGGTGATGCGTGTGAAGCACGAGATAACAATTTTAAGATAGATTTTTACAAATTTAAGGTTATTTGGTATAAAAAGATTTATCTAACATAGGCCGGTTGTACATTTCTAAATGGGTCAACATGACAAAAGTCGTGCATTGTTTAAAACATCATTATACATACTCGAATATCTAAGAATTTAATCATAATTAGCATGACAAAAGTCGTGCATTGTTTAAAACATCATTATACATACTCGAATATCTAAGAATTTAATCATAATTAGTGCCACAGATCTAAAGTTGAAATTAGAAACTTACAATTTGAAATTTATTTTCGTCTCCTGAGTCAATGTAACGGTGTACGAGACCGTGCAAACAGACAACCTTGACCACCTTAGATCTTCTACCGCATTCTCGAACACCTCTTCGATCGTCTGGTGGGCGACGAATTTTTGAAGCTCCCCGGAGATCTTACGTGATCGGCTTATGGGAAAGAACGAGGAAGATCTTGTGTTTAAGAAACACTATTTTTCTCTCTCTTGCCTAATGCCTCTTGATTTTTCTCTCTCTCCAACTCCAGTTTGGTGGTCGAAAATATAAGGAGAATTTCTTGTTAAATCTGTTTGGGACTTGGTGTATTTATAGCCTACAACAAGATGTTGGGTTCGGTGAAGAACGTTCGATGATCGTGCTTTGAATCGATTAAAAATTTAAGATAAGAATCCTACATGGTGCAGCGAAACTAACAATCGGATTCAAACCGTGCTTTGTTTATGCCGACTCTTTACATGCATACACAGTTAACGGGGTCGGACGAACGGTTCTAAGTTGTTCTTCAACCTTCTCGTTCCTCTCATATGTTATTGCCTCACCTCGTTCGTATTGGTGTGTATACTAAAAGCTCGGCCTTTTGTTAACGCTATTCCCGTTTGAATGAGAATCATGTTTAATCTACGTTTTACGTTTTGATGTTTTACATTTGGATATTGTGGTCCATCACGGATGAGGCAAAAGATCACGTATCAGTTACTTGTAAAACATAAATAAATTGGTTCACGACCTAGATGGAATTGAACAACCCATCGTGAACGGTTGTCATGTCTATTGTACAGTCTGTCTTGCTTGATTGTTGTGTTGGGGTATACTGTAAAAGCTCGGCTTTCAGTTTCTGACAATACCATTTTGAATGAGAATTCATGTTTTAGTCAAGGCTATGTTTTTCAGTTAATTTATTTATGCAAACTTTGTTCCTTTATTTTACAATGAAGATAATATGGTTCCGGGTGTGGAGCAGTAAGATCATATTATCAGTGCCTTGTAAAATATAAATGATGGTTCATAGTTTAGATGGGAATTGAACTCTCTGGTCGTGAAAAACTGTAGTGTAAATCCTAAAATTAGTTGATCTTAGACTAATGGATTACACTAGTACATCTCGAATGTAATGAACGACCCACAGGAGGATAAAATTATTTTATACTGACCAAGTAAATAATTTAGACCTCAATATTTGTTGCGTATTCTTAACCCGTGAGACAATGTACGGGCATATGTAGTTGGCACTTACTTATTTGATTTACAAGGGTGAGACTTATTCTGGTAGGTCGGCATACTCGATAATTTGGCAAGTAATGTTGGCTCCATGATGTGTCGTCAATATTGTTTACGGACACCGTATCCCGGAAAAGTCTGGGTTGATGACGTCCCCGACGTGAGCTCAAGAAGGATCGTTATGTCAAGCTCTGCAGGCGGATTGAGTTCCGGCATAATGAGAAAGAATTGAGTGGTACTAACTAAGATCATAGATATTGATTATTAAATTGTCAGAATTAAATTAATCAATAGACATTAATACGAGATATAAATCGAGCAATAATATGGAAACAAATTAATTATAATTCGCAGTTAAATCGAGAGTGCAATAATGTTTCTCTAGTAGAATGATTTATTATTCGAGCATTGAGTGGAGTGAGTTTGGCCCGCAGTTGGACTCATGCTTGGAAAGCCAATATTTAACACATCCATAGGGTCTCTACTGTAGCCATATAAATACACCAAGTCTGAAGTCTCTAAATACAAGAGAGAGTCATTATACACTCACAACATTCTTCTTCTTCAAGAGACGCCGATCATTTTTTATGTTCTTGAGAGTTTGTGAGTTTTGAGAGCTTCATTCAATAACTCCACCAAGATTGTTCGAAAGGTGTTTGGGTAATACAGTAGATGATTCTTTGGTCTTTTATCGTATCTCGTCTACGTATATTCGCAACCCGCAAAGTTTCTGTAACTCACAGAGTTGTCAATTCTTCACAAAAGTCGAGGTTCATGTTCACCGGAGACCGACAATTGTTATTTCGTACCTCCCCAAGTCAGCCACGACCCATTGCCGGCCAACCAACATCCTTCGTCCGCCACCAAGAGCATCGCTCGAGTTGTAGGGAAGCATCTAAAAACATCTCGTGCGAGCGCGACATGCCTGCGACCGGGCACGCCTGCGACTGGGCTGCCTGTGATTAGGTTGCGGTGTCAGCGGCTATGTTCGGTGACTCCAACTGGCTTGAATTTGCGGTTCGACTGAGGGTAGTATCTCCGGAGAAGGGTTCAGTTTAGCTCTACTGAATCTAATCGATAACTTGAAGCAAAAGATTAATCGAGCTCGAAAATTTTAAGGGTCTTACCTTGTGCGTGGAGTTGAAGGAATTCGACCTCTAGGGCTTGCTCACGGCCGCGGAAAATTGGTCTCAACCACGGAGAAAAAAATAATATAACTAATGAAGATAAGAGAGTGATGGTCGATGACGGGGGTTACGAAGAAGAATTGAAGGTGACTTGAGGTCTGTTGTAACCTCACCAAGAAATCCGGCCAACAAAAGAGAGACGTGAGGGAGAAGAGTTTTGAACGAGTCTTTCCTTTCAAAAAAATCTTCTCACTTTGTATTTTAATTTAATTATTTTAGTTCTTACAAATAATGCTAAGTACTACTGCTACTACAAGTAAAAAACATCTTCAAAAATAAAAATAAAAAATACACAAATGAATATTTCCACTTATATTGTCAACCTAGTTGTAAACTAGGTTAGCTATGCATCATTTGTAAAACATCAAATCCCCAAGAGGTTTGTAATTATAGAAATAAGAATAAAATTTTGAATGATATAACATATTTATAA